ATTGTATTATTTTATATTTTTATTGTTATTGTATTGTTTCCCTATCTACGTGGTGGTGACTTTACCGAAAGAATCAAGGATAATAATTTTATTGTTTTACAATAATTGTATTGTTTTACAATAATTGTATTGTTTTATATTTTTATTGTTATTTTATTGTTTCCCTATCTACGTGCTGGTGACTTTACCTAAAGAACCAAGAATAATAATTGTATTGTTTTACAATAATTGTATTGTTTTATATTTTTATTTTATTGTTTCCCTATCTACGTGGTGGTGACTTTACCGGAATAACCAAGAATAATAATTTTATTGTTTTACAATAATTTTATTGTTTTATATTTTTATTGTTATTTTATTGTTTCCCTATCTACGTGGTGGTGACTTTACCGAAAGAACCAAGAATAATAATTGTATTGTTTTACAATAATTGTATTGTTTTATATTTTTATTATTATTTTATTGTTTTACAATAATTGTATTGTTTTATATTTTTATTGTTATTGTATTGTTTCCCTATCTACGTGGTGGTGACTTTACCCAAAGAACCAAGAATAATAATTTAATTGTTTTACAATAATTGTATTGTTTTATATTTTTATTATTATTTTATTGTTTCCCTATCTACGTGGTGGTGACTTTACCCAGAGAACCAAGAATAATAATTTTATTGTTTTACAATATTTTTATTGTTTTATATTTTTATTGTTATTTTATTGTTTCCCTATCTACGTGGTGGTGACTTTACCGAAAGAACCAAGAATATTGTAAAACAATAAAATTATTATTCTTGGTTTCTTTCGGTAAAGTCACCACCACGTAGATAGGGAAACAATAAAATAACAATAAAAATATAAAACAATTCAATTATTGTAAAACAATAAAATTATTATTCTTGGTTCTTTGGGTAAAGTCACCACCACATAGATAGGGAAACAATAAAATAACAATAAAAATATAAAACAATACAATTATTGTAAAACAATACAATTATTATTCTTGGTTCTTTCGGTAAAGTCACCACCACGTTGAAGGGGAAACAATAAAATAACAATAAAAATATATAAAACAATAAAAAAATTCTCACCACGTTTCGACCATAACACAAACGGTCGTCATCACACGTGAGAATTTTTTTTATTGTTTTATATATAAATATATTTTTTTATTATTTTATTCTTTGCCCTTCAACGTGGTGACTTTACCGAGAGAGCTAAGCATACGAATGAGGAGATGAGGGACGAGAATTCAAACGTACCTAAGAAAAATTTAAAAAAGGTTTTTGTTCGAATGCCCGTCTCTCATCATCTGTTTGTATTTAACCCCCGTGCAAGTTCAACGTTCTCAACCTGCTGCGTTGATGTCCACCCTACGTGCTTATTTGTCTTTTTTTTCAAACCACCTGATGAACATCGCTTTGCGTCGCGGGTCGAGACGTCTTCGCGATTGATTCAATTTGAAATGTAACTTCACGGTATGTCTGCACGACGGAACAGTTTCGAGCGTAGATCTCATTTATCAGCGATTCAAGTCGCAGTTTATTGGCGATAGCATTCGAGACCCCCATCGATGGCAGGTTTTTGTACGGCAATAAGGGAATGTGACGCTGGTAAATGAGCGAAGACCTGAGGTCGCATTTGGTCCTCGAAACAGCGAGGAGATCCAGCAGCAGGTAGTCTGCTGATTTTTTTTTCGTGAGTACATCTCCACGCATGTATATACAAGGCAACGTTGTGATCGTGTGTGTCTGTTCAAAATGTTTAGCGTACTTACAGACATGCAACAAACTGGAAATTTGCCACGTGGGTGCTTTACAGACTGTACACCGTGCAAACATTATACAAAATACACGTGCGCGGGTCACGTGACAGATTTGACGAGCTGTGACGTCAGAGATGTCACGTGACCCGCGCACGTGGAAGCGCAACGCATTGTAGTGTAGTGGTTAGCGCGCTCTGTGTGTGTGTCTGTGTGTGTCTGTGTGTGTATCTGTGTGTGTGTGTCACTGTGTGTGTATCTGTGTGTGTGTCTGTGTGTGTGTCACTGTGTGTGTGTGTCACTGTGTGTGTATCTGTGTGTGTATCTGTGTGTGTCTGTGTGTGTGTGTCTGTGTGTCTGTGTGTGTCTGTGTGTGCGTGTGTGTGTGCGTGTCTGTGTGTGTGTGTGCGTGTGTGTGTGTCTGTGTGTGTGTCTGTGTGTGTGTCTGTGTGTGTGTCTGTGTGTGTGTCTGTGTGTGTGTGTCACTGTGTGTGTGTCTGTGTGTGTGTGTCTGTGTGTGTGTGTCACTGTGTGTGTGTCTGTGTGTGTGTCTGTGTGTGTCACTGTGTGTGTGCCTGTGTGTGTGTATCTGTGTGTGTATCTGTGTGTGTGTGTGTCTGTGTGTGTGTCACTGTGTGTGTGCCTGTGTGTCTGTATCTGTGTGTATCTGTGTGTGTGTGCGTCTGTGTGTGTCTGTGTGTGTGTCACTGTGTGTGTGTATTTGTGTGTGTGTGTCTGTGTTGTTCGTCTGTGTGTGTCTGTGTGTGTGTCTGTGTGTGTATCTGTGTATCTGTGTGTCTGTGTGTGTGTGTATCTGTGTGTGTCTGTGTGTGTCTGTGTCTGTGTGTGTCTGTGTGTGTCTGTGTGTGTATCTGTGTGTGTGTGTCTGTGTGTGTGGGGAGCGGTAGTGTAGTAGCAGTTAGCGCTACGCCGCGCTACGAACCCGGCTCCCCAAGTTCGATTCCTGCTCACGGCCACCACCACCACCACCGGTGAACGACTATTTCAACCGGTCCTGGGCCTCCCCTAGGTCGACTCAGCCTCAAACGAGTAACTACTGTTGTGGTGTGAACATCGCCACTGGGGAGACAAAGGCGGCCGGGCGTGGTGAACTCAAGTCCCGTGAATAAATAAGTTCTGGTGCAGGCTAGGTGCATGAGGGGGGGGAGGTCACGTGACAGGCCCTGCAGGTGCCAGGCTAGGTGCACGAGGAGGAGGTCACGGGACAGACCCTGCAGGTGCCAGGCTAGGTGCATGAGGATGTCACGTGACAGACTTAGCAGGTGACATGGGTTGTATTGCTGTACCAGGCTAGGTGCACGAGGAGGAGGATGTCACGTGACAGACCCTACAGGTGACATGGGTTGTACTGCTCTACCAGGCTAGGTGCACGAGGAGGAGGTCACGTGACAGACCCTGCAGGTGACATGAGTTGTACGGCTGTGCCAGGCTAGGTGCATGAGGAGGAGGAGGTCACGTGACAGGCCCTGCAGGTGCCATGGGTTGTACCGCTGTGCCAGGCTAGGTGCATGAGGAGGAGGATGTCACATGACAGACCCTACAGGTGACATGGGTTGTACTGCTGTACCAGGCTAGGTGCACGAGGAGGAGGTCACGTGACAGACTTAGCAGGTGACATGGGTTGTACTGCTGTACCAGGCTAGGTGCACGAGGAGGAGGTCACGTGACAGACCCTGCAGGTGACATGGGTTGTACTGCTGTGCCAGGCTAGGTGCACGAGGAGGAGGTCACGTGACAGACCCTGCAGGGTGCCATGGGTTGTACTGCTGTGCCAGGCTAGGTGCATGAGGAGGAGGTCACATGACAGACCATGCAGGTGACATGGGTTCTATTGCTGTGCCAGGCTAGGTGCACGAGGAGGAGGTCACGTGACAGACCCTGCAGGTGACATGGGTTGTACTGCTGTGCCAGGCTAGGTGCATGAGGATGTCACGTGACAGACTTAGCAGGTGACATGGGTTGTACTGCTGTACCAGGCTAGGTGCACGAGGAGGAGGTCACGTGACAGACCTTGCAGGTGACATGGGTTGTACAGCTGTGCCAGGCTAGGTGCATGAGGAACAGGTCACGTGACAGGCCCTGCAGGTGCCATGGGTTGTACCGCTGTGCCAGGCTAGGTGCATGAGGAGGAGGTCACGGGGGGGGGGAGGGAAACACAGCACGTGACGGTCGGCTCGTCCAATAGGAAATCGTCTCGCGCCAGGCCCTGTCCCGCCTGAGCGGTTTGGGGGCTCCCGGAAAGTCGCCATCGGTCGCTTCGAACACGCGCGGACTCTCAACTCTCCTCTCGCTGTGTCTCTTCTCTCTTCTCTCTCCCTGCGTGAGAGAAGTCGTGGGGAGGGAGGGAGGGACGAGGTGAGCGAGCGAGTGAGTGTTGGTGAGTTGTGAGGTTCTTATAGATTCGCTTCGCTGTATTTAGGTGAAGGACCGTGTCTGGTCGGATTGCTTGGCCGGGTGATGCCTCGGGTTCCCCGGCAGGTTGGCTAGGCGAATGCCCAGGCTTCGGCCTAGGGGCTTCGTTTAAGTCGCTCAACTCTCTCTCTTCTCTCTCCGTCCTCGTCGGGGGTCTGCGTGAGAGAAGTCGTGGTGAGGGGGAGGGACGAGATGAGCGAGTGAATGAGTGGTGAGTTGTGAGGTTCTTATAGATTCGCTTCGCTGCATTTAGGTGAAGGACGTGTTTGGTCGGATTGCTTGGCCGGGTGATGCTTCGGGTTCCCCGGCAGGTTGGCTAGGCGAGTGCCCAGGCTTCGGCCTAGGGGCTTCGTTTAAGTCGCTCAACTCTCCTCTCTTCTCTCTCCGTCCTCGTCGGGGGTCTGCGTGAGAGAAGTCGTGGTGAGGGAGGGACGAGAAGAGCGAGCGAGTGAGTTGTGAGGTTCTGACTAATGCAGCCAGCTATATGGCTGCAGGGTTTGGTGGTTACATGTTGCTTATGTAGTTTATTATTCAAAATTCGGTCACAGTCCCTATGATCACCGTTACATTGCATTTATGGCTTGATTTTTTGGTGATTTCGAAAACGGTTTTTTTTTGTTTTGGCCATGTTTTTGTTTGTTGTAGTACGGAGTTAGATGTAATGGCCTTTATCTAAAGTTGTCTCTTGTGATTGTTGTTGTTTCACTTGCATCCCACTGGGAGTTTTTGGCACGCAGCGTTGGTGTACGGTGCTTTTTATGGGATATGTTGCTGTTTGTTTTCCTGGATTTTCTGTTTCACAGTCACATAGTCACTTTAAGATGTTTTTTTTGGTCCGTGTTTTTTCGTTGTCTTTTGTTTGTTGCGGTTGCACCCGATTCAAGAGCCGAATGGCTCATAGTGCTACACCAAGTAAATGAAAACTGAAACTTAAACGGAATCGCTTGGGTGGATTGGGTGAGGGACCGTGTCCGGTCGGATCGCTTGGCCCGCGTGATGCCTCGGGTTCCCCGGGCAGCTTGGCTAGGCGAGTGCCCAGGCTTCGCCTAGGGGTTTCGTTTACGTCGCTCAACTCGCTCTCTCTATCCTCGCCAGGGTCTGCGTGAGAGAAGTCGTGGGGAGGCAGGGAGGGACGGACTCTTGAGGTGAGTGAGTGAGTGGTTTGTGATGCTGAGGTTCTGGTAGATTCTGCTCGGTGCATTTGGTGAGGGACTCGTGTCGGTTCGCTTGGCTGGGTGATGCATCGGCTTTTTTTCCCGGGGGGCTTGGCTAGGCGAGACCGCAGGCTTCGGCCTAGGTGTTTCGCTTGCGGCGCTCAACTTTAATCGTCTCTCGCTCGTCCTCCTAGCCGGGGTCTGCGCGAGAGAAGTCGTGGGGAGGGAGGAGGGACGAGGTGAGTGAGTGGTGTTGGTGAAGTTCTGATAGATTCGCCTCAGTACATGGGGTGTGGGACCGGTTTCGGGCCTTGTCTTTTGGCCGGGTGATGTCTCTGGTTACCCGGCGGCTTGGCTAGGCGAGTGCCCAGGCTTCGGCCTATGTGTTTTTGTTTACGGCGCTCAAATCTCCTCGTCTCTCGCTCGCCCTCCTAACCGGGGTCTGCGTGAGAGAAGTCGTGGGGAGGGAGGGGACGAGGTGAGTGAGTGAGTGGTGTTGGTGAAGTTCTGATAGATTCGCCTCAGTACATGGGATGTGGGACCGGTTTCGGGCCGTGTCTTTTGGCCGGGTGATGTCTCGGGTTACCCGGCGGCTTGGCTAGGCGAGTGCCCAGGCTTCGGCCTATGTGTTTTTGTTTACGGCGCTCAAATCTCCTCGTCTCTCGCTTTCGTGCTCTCTCCGTCCTCCCCCTCGATCGCTCTTTTGCGCGAGAGAATTCGTGGGGAGGGAAGGGACGACTCCCGAGGTGAGTGAGTTGAGGGGTGGTGGTGGTGGTGGTGAAGTTCTGCTAGATTCGCCTCCGTGCATGGCGTGTGGGAGCGGGTCGCTTGGCCGTGTGATGCCTCGGGCTCCCCGGCGCCGTGGCTAGGCAAGGTCTTAGGCTTAGGCCTGGCTCGTGTCCCCCTCTCGCTCTCTCTCTCCCTCCTCGCCTGAGTCTGCGTGACAGAAGTCGTGGGGGAGGGAGCGTTCGAGGTGAGTTAGCAGCGAATGGTGGTGGTGGTGGTGAGGTTTCTTGATAGATTCGCCTCGGTGCATCGGGTGACGGACCGGTTAGGAGCCTGGTCGTTTGGCCGGGTGATGCCTCAGGGGTTTCCCGCGGCGTGACTAGGCGAGGTCCTAGGCTTCGGCCTATGAGTTTCGTTTACGTCGCTAAACTCTCCTCGTGTCTCTCTCTCTCAGGTCTCGCTCGCTCTCTGCGTGAGAGAAGTCGTGGGGAGGGGAAGGACAACTTCTGAGGTGAGCGAGTCGTAAGGTTCTGCAGTGGACCGGTTCGAGGTGGGTCGCTTGGCGGGATGATGCCTCGAGTTCCCCGCCGGCTTGGCTAGGCGAGGTCCTAGGCTTCGGCCTAGGGGTTTCGCTCAACTCTTCCCTCCCCCACCCTCGCTCTCATCGTCTCGCTCTCTGTCCTCGCCGGGGGTCGGCGAGAGAGAAATCGTGGGGAGGGGGAGGAACGACTTCAGCGGCAAGTGAGTGGCGAGGTTCCGCTAGATTCATCTCAGTGCATGGGGGGGGGGGGGGTGGCGGGTCGAGTCGTTTGGCGGGGTGGGGTCTCGGCTTCCCCGGCGGGGCGGTTAGGCGAGGGCCGAGGCTTCGGCCTAGAGTTTGGCGGTGTCCGCGATGTTTTGTTAGGCTTTAGGGGTTTTGCGAAATCTGCGACGGGAGATCAGGAGGTTGGGGAGGGGGGGGACCCCCCTGAGGTGATTGTGTGGTGGTGAGGTTTTCCTGAAATTCCTCTCTGCCGTGTCTTAGTTACAGCAGTGGACGGGGTGGGGGGGGGGGGTAACGGTTTTCGTTGCTTGGCGCGGTGATGCCTCGGGTTCCTCGGCCGAGTGGCTAGGCGAGCACCGAGGCTTCGGCCTAGGGGTTTCGCGGTGTCGGCCCGACGGTATAGATCGATAGATCGATCTGTGCGGAGTGCGTGGTCCTGCACTTGCCCCCTCCGCTCTGTTAGGAACCGTTCCTCGGTCGGCTCGGCCTCAAATGTGTACCTGGTGCTGTCGGTGAGTAGCAGTAGTGAGAGAGGCAGAGGCATTTGCCACGTTGAAGGCCTTCATAGGCGCTGCTGCTACCTCGCTACTAACAGCACAGTCTGCTAAGGCTACACGGGGGATCTTTGTCCTGTGTGTGTGTGTTTTGGTGTGGGGAGCGGTGGTGCAGCGGTTAGCGCTACCCTGCGCTACGAACCCGACGGGCCCCGGGGCTCGATCCCCTGCGCGCTCACTGGGCCTCCCCTAGATCGACTCGGCCTCAAATGAGTGCCCTGCTGTAGCGGTGTGTGTAGTAAACATCGCCACTGGGGAGACGAAGGGCGGTCTGGCGGGGTTGCTGGTGGCCACCATCCCCACACACACACACACACCACCCCCTCTGTGTGTAGCCACAGTGCCGGTAACCTTCGTAAGGCGCTGCTGCTGCTGTTACTCGCAAACTCGCAGCACCTGCCCCCTCCAGCGCTGTGTGGGCTACACGGGGGGCAGATTTGTCTTTGTGTCACCGTCGATTCTTTCTGCCTGTCTCTCTCTCTCTGTCCGTCTGCCCAGGCCTGCCCCGGTTGTTTCCCACCCAGACGGACTGCGGACGGAGGCGGGGAAGGGACCACCACCACCACCACCCACCACCACCACCACCACCGCCACGTGAGACTCGGTGAGACAGCAGAGAGGCCTCCGGGTGGTGCCGGGCTGAGAGGGAGGCGCGCGGGGTTAGATGCCGAGAGAGACACTTGTAACAGGCTGTAGGGGCAAGTGCTGTTAGCGAGAACCTACAGAGACACAGACAAAGATCCCCCGTGTAGCCTGTAACAGGCTGGAGGGCCAAGTGCTGTTAGCGAGCACCTACAGACACACAGACACGGACAAAGATCCCCCGTGTAGCCTGTAACAGGCTGGAGGGCCAAGTGCTGTTAGCGAGAACCTACAGACACACAGACAAAGATCCCCCGTGTAGCCTGTAACAGTCTGTAGGGACAAGTGCTGCTAGCGAGCACCTACAGACACACAGACACAGACAAAGGTCCCCCGTGTAGCCTGTAACAGGCTGTAGGGGCAAGTGCTGTTAGCGAGCACCTACAGACATACAGACACAGACAAAGGTCCCCCGTGTAGCCTGTAACAGGCTGTAGGGGCAAGTGCTGTTAGCGAGAACCTACAGACACAGACAAAGATCCCCCGTGTAGCCTGTAACAGGCTGGAGGGCCAAGTGCTGTTAGCGAGCACCTACAGACACAGACAAAGATCCCCCGTGTAGCCTGTAACAGGCTGTAGGGGCAAGTGCTGCTAGCGAGCACCTACAGACACAGACAAAGATCCCCCGTGTAGCCTGTAACAGGCTGTAGGGCCAAGTGCTGTTAGCGAGAACCTACAGAGACACAGACAAAGATCC